TTCGGGCCAATAGGAATCTAAAATTTTATGACATCAAGAAAAGTAAATCCTTCTTCACGGAAGTAGGATTATTTTTCACAATTATTGAATTATGAATTTATCTTTAATAATGGTACCAAATTAAAAGTCTCTTATAAATGGAGTTAATATCCAAAATGATCCTTGACAATGATTATTTTTCTTGATTTCGTCTTAAAAAAATTTTGTGACCTAATTTAGTCTCAAAGTTGTGTGTTTTTACAAAATATAATCCTCCATTTGCATTTCCGTCTATGTGCAGTTAAATTCAAGGGCATTTGGTAATTGCAAGAATATATCATTTTTCACCCACTCTGTTTACTACCTGCGAAGACAAAGAATCTCTTTGGTTGCCTCATCCGATCCCATTGTTGCTTCCTTCATATGTTACAAGTCTTAGGGTTCAATGGTTTCTATTAATATGCGAAAATGATAGAAAAAATTGGATTCACATGCAGTAAAAAGGGTGGGTGAAAGAGGAGATATTCTTGCAATTACCAAATTACCCTTGAATTTAACAACACATAGATAGAGATGCAAACGGAGGACAATATTGAGCAAAAATGTACGAATTTGGGACTAAATTAGGTCACAAAAATTCTTTAGGATAAAATCGAGAAAAATCATCATAGTCAAGGATCATTTTGAATATTAACTCCTTATAAATATAAGAAATTCGTCTCCTTCAACACATTTTTACATACGTAATGCTTTGTATTTTGAATATCATTATTATATAATGAAATTTTTTGGCATATGATTTATTAATAATGTTTTTAAATGTTTGTAAATAGAAAGGATATATTATATATTTTAAAAATATATATATTGGAAAGCTTAAATCATCGGAAGGATAAAAAATGTGCAAAATATAATAGCCTAGGGAGTTAAATGACAAAAATGATAGTCTAAGACTAAATATGAATTTATCACCAAAAAAAAACAAAACAAAACAAAAAAAAAAAAAAAAAAACAAGGGACCCCTGTTACAATTGACTGAATTTTATTTAGGAATAAGGTTCAAATTGGCCACTGAACGTAACCTGAAAGTGCAATTAGGCCACTGAACGAAAAAAAGTGCAATTAGGCCACTGAACACTCCAAAAATGTGCAATTTCACCTGATAGCAGGTTACCCTCAATTTTAGCAGGTTATCTGCTTACGTGGCAGCTGAGTTGGCATTTTTAATAAATTTTAATTAATTTTTAATAAATTTTAATAATAAATTTGTATTAATTTATTTTTGAAAAATAAAAACGACTTTATTTTATTTTTTATTTTATTTTTTCCAATTTTTTATAAAATTGATTATTAAAATTAATTATTAAAAATTATTTAAAAATTATTAAAAATGCCAACTAAGCTGCCACGTAAGCAGGTAACCTGCTAAAATTGATGGTAACCTGTTATCCGGTAAAATTGCATACGTTTGGAGAGTTCAGTGGCCTAATTGCACATTTTTTGAGTGTTCAATGGCCTAATTACACTTTTTTTTCGTTTAGTGACCTAATTGCATTTTCAGGTTACGTTCAGTGGCCAATTTGAACCTTATTCCTTTTATTTATTCACATTCAAGCTAGTGTTAAATAAGTAATAATTATTTTATCCAATCCATAATACAACCAATAATTGTTGTATACTCAAATTTAGCCAAAAAGACAATAGTTGTTCCAAAATAAGTAAACACTAAAAATAATAATAATAATAATAACCTTTAAACCTGTAATGGTAAAAATGGATAACGGATAACAAAACATTATTTTCTACTACTTCTAAAATTTTGAATTTATATTCATATAACTATTAATTATTTAATCAAAAGTGACATATAAATACCATCAACCCATCAAAATAGATTTTAGAAATCTCCTTTTACCATAAATATATTAGACTTGTGGATAAATGATGTATGGTGTTAAATTACAAGCAAGGTACAAGGTACCAACATTTTCGTTCATCCTTTTCGTCAAACCTTTCCTCAGCATAGTAGCTTTCAGTCGTGGGTCGTGATGAATATCAACAAATATATGATAAGATGGAAAATGCTTAGTGTACTCACATATACGATATTATTCTTGTTATTGGAAATTGGAATTTAGATTTTATTTAGTTGAATAAAACAGTGTAGGAGATTTTCATACATCAAAATAGTTAATATTTTTGACAGTTAATATATCTGAATTCAAGAACAGTTCTATTTAAATAGTAGAGGCCAACGAATTATAATCGATATGATCTAATAAGTGTTGGTCACTCATTATTGTATGATAAAGATTAAATTAATATTAGATAATCATAAATAGTTGAGAACTGCAAAAGTTCCCATTGACTTTTCATTTCCCAACATACTTGTATTACTAAACAATTTAATTACGTATTTCCTTTTATGATAATAGTGCAAATAATTGATAAGTCAAATATTTTTTGCGACATAACCACATGACACGGAATAATATATAATTGGTTGGTGTTAGCCTGTTAGGTGTATTACATACATTACTCTAAGTCAACAACGTGAGATAGAATTTTTCACCCATTTTATTGTATACCAAAAAATTTCATGCTGTCTTTATGATTATAAAATAAGCTCATTATAGTTACACATCAAACATGTGAAATTTATGAGCTACAAAAGGTCTTTATAAACGGGAGTTCTTAATGTGTGGGTATTGTGTCGTAATCTTTTTTTTTTTTTTTTTTCTTTTTATGATAAGGAAAATCATATATCACATTGAGAAGATCTTATGTTACAAGTTTAACGAAAAAAAAAAGAGTTTTCGGTACATTAAAAATAATTTTTTTGTATATTATGAACCTTGCTCCATAGTATAACTTGGCATTTAAAATACCGAGTAATAACTAATATGGTGTCTTATGATTCTTAAATTGTATACTCAACATTTTTTTTGTTGACAAACTTAATATCATTTTTAAATCTTTTGAGTATTTTGAATTTATCGCTATCAGTATTATATTTATATATAAAAAAAATTGTCCGATTTCAGTCATTTTAATTTTAATTTTTTGTCACTTTTAATAAGCCTCTAGTCAAAGGACAATCTCGTCATTTCAAAATTTGATCATCCATTCATAGGAACGGTTGTTATTGCTTTCCACTTATATTGTATATACATGTATTATATCCGTCTCATTTTAGGTATCTAATTTGATTAAAAAGAATTAATTGAAGTTATTTAAGATTTAATTTTTCATAATACTCCGTATTAAGTTTAGTCTTAATAAATAAATTTATATATTTTAATATTACACTAAAAGCTAGTATTGTTAAACATAAAAAAAAAAAAAAATAATAACACATAAAATAAGCAAACAAAAAAAGAATTTATTTGACAACTAAATAGTAAGAATGAGAACATATTTGTCACTAAATTATACACAAATATGCAAGTGAGCATCAAATCCGATAATAAGGTACGCAAATCACCAACCAACCGTTAATAAGTTATTAGTTAGTATCGCAATTCTATTTAGTAGAAAAAGATAAGTGGATATGTGTGAATTTGGATAACTCAAAACATGTGTAAGGAAAAATCATTAATATTGTCATACAAGATACTTTTCCCATTAATTTTGGAGTTAAAGTATCCCTTTTAAGGAAAAAAATCATTACTTTTAATTTGGGTGTCAAAAAATTGTATCGTATAAATTATTTTTATTTCTAGATTAGTTCAATTTATCTTATTTTGGGTGTAGCGTAAAGACAAGTTACTGAGGTTCAGGATATACTTTGGTAAAATTAAAAATTTTGGACGACGACAACAACGACAACAACAAAATTATATTTGTTACTAAATTATACACAAACATATGAACTAAAACTGTCATTTTACTAATACTCGTAGGACCAAAATTGGTATTCGCTAAAAAAAAATGTTATAGCCAACGGATCGGATGGAAGTGCAATATAAGTAATAAATTTTCATTGGTTTTTTCCTAAGTTAATACCTTTTAAGGCTTTATCCTGACAAAACTTAATTTATTCTTTCCATTTACGTGATAATAATATAAATAAATTTTTTTTAATATAGAGTGGGGCCACCAATTCAAATGAAATTATCCATATTTTATATGTTTGATTCGATTAATGAGTAATGATTACAATTATTTATAATTTAATATTTAATAATATTGATTTTAGTATTAATAAATAAAATTCATTTATGTCAAAAACTAATTTAAAGAACTATTAAATATAAAATTTTAAATATACAATTTTGTTAATATCCAAATTGGTCCACGATTATAGTGTTTTTTTTTTTTTTTTTCAATTTCGTTCTAAACGACTTTGGTGATCTAATTATGTAATCTCAGACTTTTGCATTTTTGTTAAATTTAGTTCTTCGTTTGTTATTTCGTCAAATTAGTGTTAAATATAGTGACATCAGTAATCTCAATATTGGTCTATCTTTACTCCCAGCCTTGCGCAGTGCGAAATTGCTATTTATTTTACGATTTACTCCTAGAATTACAGCCAGGCCTGTGAATTAAATTTTATATTCACATGTTTGGGAGTAATTTATAAAAGAATGAGGGATTTCGCACTTCACATGTCTATGAGTAAAGATATGTCAATATTAAAATTACTGAATTAACTCTCAATTTAATACCAAATGGACAGAATAACAAACAGAGGACTAAATTGAGCAAAAACACAAAAGTCTGGACTACATTAGATTACCAAAGTAATTTAAGACGGATTAAGAAAAATCACTATAATCGAGAACCATTTTGGATATTAACTTTATAAAAATTATTAAGAAAACTACGGAAGAAAAAATTATTGTAACCAATAATTAGTAAAGAATATAAGTAAAATGGAATATAATGAATAAATGAATAATAAATTTTTTTATTGTGAATATATAAATATATTATATATAAACTATGATTGGTTTACGTATGGAGAAGATTTTCAAGCGCGTAGGCTATCAGGGTGTGTCCAACGTCTATATAAGGACTAAAACACTGGTTGGGTTATCCAACACAACACTCGGAAATATATATTGTATTCTCGTCCGTTGTAATATTGTTATACTACTCTTAACATAGTAATTCTCTCTCTCTCACCCTCTCTCTCTCTCTCTGTCGTCGTCTCTCATCATGGGAGACACTAGACCAGTAAGAAATGCCGGCTCCGGCCATATTCCGGCGTTTGATCCTCCGAAGAAGGTGAAGAGAAACAAATATGCCATAGCTGCCGCCTTTTTAGCTTCACTGGCATCAATCTTGCTCGGTTACGGTGAGTGTTTCATCGGATAAACGATAAGCGACAGCTTAGATTTTGGGCTCCGGCCGGCATCGTATCGTCTGAGATGAAAGAAATAAATGATTTTTTGTTTTTGGAATTTGTTGTCGCAGATATTGGGGTGATGAGTGGAGCGGCCATCTATATCCAGAAGGACCTAAAAATCAACGACACACAAGTGGAGATTCTCCTGGGAATCCTGAACCTATACTCCCTTATCGGCTCCTGCATGGCCGGCCGGACCTCCGACTGGATTGGCCGCCGGTACACCATGGTGGTCGCCTCCGTTGTGTTCTTCGTGGGAGCCATTTTAATGGGTTTCTCCACCAACTACACTTTCCTCATGGTGGGCCGTTTCGTCGCCGGGATCGGAGTCGGCTACGCCCTCATGATTGCTCCGGTCTACACCGCCGAGGTCGCCCCCGCCTCCGTCCGCGGCTTCCTCACCTCCTTCCCTGAAGTCTTCATTAATTTTGGTACGTTAACCATATTATTATTATTATTATTATTGGGAACAGTTATTATTATTTATTTTCTTGATTTATTTGTCGTTTCCTATTTGCATGTGGAAATTTCAAAACGTCACGAGCAACAACTCACTGTAATAAGTTAGAAAAACACCTAATAAGTCCAAAACCCCTCGCAACAATATACATATATATGTATATGAATCTGATTAATCATTGCCCTGAATCTTCTTGCCCCAGAAAATTTTTACTTTACACCAAACCAAATTTTGAGATTTCTTCATATGTAATTTTGAAATATATAATTTTTGTCATCGATGCCTACTAAATTGATATGATTTTGTAACCGACTATGTATTATAAAATTAATTAATTAACTACTATGTTGACTATTGGTTACCTGATGAGCTAGGTTGTTTAGACGGTTTTAATATTATATGTATATTTTTTGGGCGTGATTAATTATGATTATTATCGCTAAATTTTGTTAATATATAGGGATTTTGGTGGGTTACGTGTCCAATTTTGCATTTAAGAATATGTCAGTTCACTTGAGCTGGCGATTCATGCTCGGAGTGGGATCGATTCCGTCGGTGTTGCTCGGCGTTAGTGTATTGGCCATGCCGGAGTCGCCGCGGTGGCTGGTGATGCAGGGTCGCCTGGGAGACGCGCGGCGCGTGCTTCTCAAGACTTCGGATTCCCCGGAGGAAGCTCACATGAGGCTCGCCGACATCAAGGAAGCCGCCGGCATACCGGAGCACTGCGACGACGAAGTGGTGACGGTGACGAAGAAGCGAGGCGACGAGGACAGCGTGTGGAGGGAGCTTTTCATCTCCCCGACGCCGGCCGTCCTTCACATCCTCATCACCGGCGTCGGCATTCATCTCTTCCAGCAAGCCAGCGGCATAGACGCCGTGGTTCTATACGGGCCTAGAATCTTCGAGAAGGCCGGGATTAAATCCGACACCGACAAGCTCCTCTGCACAATCGCCATCGGTTTCACCAAAACCGTGTTCATACTGGTCGCCACATTCACGCTAGACAAATTCGGCCGCCGGCCGTTGCTCCTAACCAGCGTCGGCGGGATGGTGACCACGCTGGCACTCCTGGGAATGTCGTTGACCGTGATTGACCACTCCCATGAAAAGGTACCCTGGGCGGTGGCCATGGCCATCGCAATGACGCTAGCCTACGTGGCCGCCTTTTCCATCGGAGCGGGGCCCATTACGTGGGTATACAGTTCGGAGATATTCCCGTTAAAGCTCCGGGCAACGGGGTGCAGTCTAGGAACGGGAATTAACCGCGTAACAAGCGGAGTAGTGTCAATGACGTTTATATCCCTATACAAAGCCATCTCCATAGGTGGGTCCTTCTTCCTGTACGCGGCTATCGCCGCCGTGGGGTGGGTGTTCTTCTTCACGCTAATGCCGGAGACGCAGGGGAAAACGCTGGAGGAGACGGAGGCGCTGTTTGGGACATTCTTTAGGTGGCGGTCAAGGCAGAGGGAGGTGGATGCGAAGAAGGCTAACAACAATTCCCAGCTTCAAATGGGAACGCTTCAGGCTGCTAATAAGTAGACGTACTTTTATTTAGTAGTATAAGCTGCGTGGGTAATGTTAGTAGAGATTAATGTTACTTTACGTACTGCCTACCTTAATCTCTCGCTGGTGTATCATGTTATAATATTCCTAGTATTTTAATTTACTTCAGTATTTAGTATCATATCATACATCTTATCACATAAGATGATTGGGGCCATTTACTTTGAAAGTCCCTTTAATTAGATGTTTGGGTCATTAATTGGATGCTCAACAACAGAATTTCAGGATGTAAGTAAATTATAATAAGAGTATTCTGTTTCATAAGACTACTTTCAATTTGACTATAAAGCGTTCATTCACTATTAATTTTGTTCAGACTTTGATTATTCAATTCTATATCCATCCTTATACCATTAAGGGTAATAATGTAAAAGTTATCTTCTTCACACTATTACTAATGATGAACCTAATGTATTAAGTTTGTGAACCCAATTTGTCCATCTCAATAACAAGCTAATTTTAATTTTACACCATATGTTTATTAAATGAATATTTAACTAGATGACCAAACATGATTTACATCATTCCAGATGCTCGGTCGGGCCGGGGTGTGAGGAGCCGTTAGAGTTGGAGACTCAGTCTTTTGAGAAGAATGAAATAAAAATAATAATCAAGAGATCATTTATAGTCAAATTGAAAGTCGATGATGAAAATTTAATAAATGTCAATAGTCAATAAATTATTTATGATCTAATTAAAAGTCGATATAAAAATTAATAAAAATCAATAATTAATGTAGTATTCATATAATTAACTCTCATTTTGTATATCATCCAAAGAATTTGACACGATTCCTATTGTTGAAATTTGTATTTTTATTATATTTCTTAATGAATTTTACAGTCCAATAAAGAGAAGAATTCCAAAGTTATAGGCGTTGTGGTGACTGGTGAGGGTGACTGAAAAAGATTAAACAAATCTCAACCGCTCATGTTATAGTCATAGTAGGGTAAAGGTCAAAACATTATACTACTACTTTCACGCATCTCCGGCCAAAATAATTTTAAAACGTATTTAGTTTCACTAAAATTCATTATTCAAATTCAAATTCAAGAATAAAAAAATAGTTTAGAATTTATCAAACTAATTTGGATATTATTATTAGAGTTAATTATATTTTTTATCCTAAATTTATACGTGGCAGTCTAGCTACTTTAAGTATTTTTTTTATATATATTATCAAATATCCATTTTTGGACCTAATATTAGTGTGACGGGACCATTTTTGGTCTTTTATTAACAAAACAATTTAAATATCTTAAAATAAAAAGATATTCGGTCTTCAATTATGATTTTTTTTTAAAAAAATAAACATAAAAAAATAGAGCGGTTCAACCTACTTTCTATTTTTAAAAAAATTGAAATGTCTTTGTATAAAAAATTAATGAAGATATTTTGTTCGTTTAAACTTTCTTATGAAAATTTTTAAAATCTCTAATATATCATTGCTATATGCAACCACTAAAAAGAATTGAAAAAAAAAAAACATAAAGAATAACTGAGAGTTTAATAAATCACTTATAAATTAATAAATTATTTGTCAAAAAATTATTGTATGCAATAAGAATATTAAAAAAAAAAACAAAATTTAAAAAGTACTTATATAAAAAAGTATTGAAAAAACAATTTTTTCAATAAATCATGTTGTTATCTTTTGTAATGGTGAGAGAGATAAATTTATTATTATATCTATAAGAGACTTTTAACCTGAGCGAAAAAAGATAAATACATAACTGAGTATATTTGGTAAAAAGAATCATTTCTCCCATATGTGATATTTACTTTTATTTTCTTTGGTGATATTATTGAATTATATAACAATTGACCCAAACTTTCCAACCTAAGTCAAAATTACATTGTGAGAATAATCTTCATACCTTTTAAATTTCTACAAAGGTCCAAACTTTCCAACAAAAAAATTATTACTACGGCTCTGTTTGGCAAACCTAGCTGAAAAGCTATAAGCTAGGAGCTGAAAGCTGAAAAGGAACTGAAAGCTTAAAAGTAGCTCAAAGTTGAAAAGCTATAAGCTCGGAGCTGAAAACTGAAGGGATGTTAAGCTAGCTGTTATGATTGAAAGTGTTTAGTAAAATTAGCTTTTTGACAATCTGATAAATGTAAAAAGACTAAAAATGACATATTCATAAAATTTAAATTAGTTTATTTACATATTAAAATTTAACATTTTGTCCTTAAAAAAATTAAAATTTTGTCTTTAAAAAAAAATTAAAATTTTTAAATAAAACTATTAGCATAATCATGATCTAGCATCTTATAATGGAGTAGCAATATTGTTGCAAATCTCATAATAATAATAATAATAATAATAATAATAATAATAATAATAATAATAATAATAATAATAATAATAATAATAATAATAATAATAATAATAATAATAATAATAATAATAATAATAATATTTGTGGTGAAAGTTGCTGATAAAGGAGATGAGAAAAGGGTTTTAATTGGGAAGGGTAAATTATGTCATTTCTTTAAAATCTAAAAACATAATAAGTGTCAATACAAGTTATGTCCTTGATTTTTGTCCCTTTTTTATATGCTTATAAATATATACATTTTGCTTTAATTGTTGTACATTCATTTGCATTGGACAAAATCACCCTTACACCGTTATAACACCGTTAGTTTTTAATATATCTACCAATCTTACCATACACCTACATCTATCATATCTTTTTCCTATTTTAATTATCATTTTATTAAAATTACCATATAACATTTAATTTAATTATAAATTATATTTTAATTAAATATTTATATGAATGTTAAATTATATATATATATATATATATAATATGTATGTATATTATTTGTGTATCCATATCAATATATCATATATGTGGGTGCATGTTAGCTTAGTATTATTTGTAAATTATTATTATATAAAAATATAATTTTTTTTTTTTTTGTTTTGATCACTATATTATTCAAATATATTGGGCAAAACATAATTTTAACTAATTTTTTAAATTTTGTTACTTACAAATATTTTAATATTGGGCATAAATTTTCGCGCACGCGTACAAAATGCTAGTAATAAGGATAAAGATGGAAAAAAAGTTAGGAAGCTAGGAGCCTACCTAAGGTAGCGTTTCAAAATAAGCTCTTATTTTAAGCTAGAAGCTTATTTTGGGAACATTACCAAACAGAGCTTATAGCTTATTAGTAACTTAAAATAAACTATAAGCTCCTAAATAAGCTCTGCCAAACAGAGCCTATAATGAAAAGATTAACCTATATTGAAATAATATATTCTTTTATGGAAACTACTAAACTAGTGTTTTCGGGTGAAATAAATAAACTTTTTAAGAACCAACAATTGTTTATGAAAATTCATGCCCTTAAAGTCAAATCGAATTTTGTATTTTTTTTTTTTTTTTTGGATCAAGTTACAAAATTGAGTTTGAATTGCACAAATGTTTCAAACTTTGAGGATCTTAAATTACTTAAAAAATTTTGGTTATAATTCTTATACCAGACACAAAAATTTTATCTATTTCACCAATAACTAATACGGAGTATTTAATATGGAATGCAAATTTAAAAATGTTTAATTTATAATTTCAAAAATTAAATTCAATCGCAGTTGAAAAATCGTGCAATTCTAACCACTTTTTATGTATGGCCAAAAATTCTAATCACTTTTAACAAGTGGTCAGAAAAATTTGAACGCTACACAAAAACTTAATTTTAGGGGGAGTTTTTTTTGCACTTTTGGTCCTACGACTATTGTGGCATTATTAGTATTGATCCGCGACTTTTAAATCTTGCAATTTTAGTCCATGAATATTATTTTTGTTGCAAAAATTGTCCTTCAGGCAAATTTTTCGTCAAAATCTCACCGGAGAAAAAAAAATTCTCATTTCAAATCAGGGATAAAATAGACATTTACAATGACCTTGCAATCTCGGACCGCTGTTGACCTCTTATTCTGACCAAAGTGCGAAAAAAAAAACCCAATTACCAGAGACGAGCCCTAATATACTCTCATCTCATCAACTCATCTGCGAACAAGAGGAAAACATCGATTGCATCTTCAACGCGCCATCCATTGCCGACCTTCATCTTCTTTATTGTGAAGGAAAACATAATGGCTACATCGATTGTCATTTTCACACTCAATTTTTCGTCTTTGGCAATTGTTTTTTTTTTTTGGTTTGATTTTTTCGCACTTTGGTCAGAATAAGAAGTCAACAGTGGTTCGAGATTGCAAGATCAATACAAATGTCTATTTTATCCCTGTTTGAAATGGAGAATTTTTTATCCGGTGAAATTTTGACAGAAAATTGGTCGGAATGACCATTTTTACAACAAAAACAATAGTCGTGGACTGAAATTGCAAGGTTTGAAAGTCGCGAATCAATCCTGATAGTGGTACTATAGTCATGGGACCAAAAGTGCAAAAAACTCACTTTAGTGGTTAGTTGGAACTTAAGATGGATTTTTCTAGTGATTGGGAAAATTTTAGTGCATATATATTATAATTTTTGATTTTTTTTTTACTTCTTTTATATATAGAAAGAAAGAGGAGAAAGTACTTAAAAAAAAAAAAAAAGAGGAGAAAATAAGGAAAAAAAAGGGCAACAAAAGAAGAAGTAGCTAAGATCTTGTGATCTAATGGCACCAATGTTGAATTTTCATATGGGAGGTTGTGAGTTCGAACTTCAGTGGTTTTAATTCTTTGTGGTTCAGTAGGGGCTTTAAAAGTGACTCTAAAATAATAACTTGAAGTATATGTTTTGTCTCAAAACTCTAAGTTGATATTTAAACTACACGACATTTATATTTTTGTATTATATACTCAACACATATACCGTGAATTAAGAATCAAACTAGGCATGTTACAATACAATTTTCAATATCTCTACATATAGCCCATGAATTATATCATCTCATCAAGCATGGTACAAAATTTCTTGAGCTATCTACTCTATAAATTCTTTCCACCAACAACCTAGGGTTGTAGCACATTCCAACCACTAGTGAATGAAAAATTGTGAACATACCAAACGATCTAATCGACCCAAGTTTTATTTCCAGCGTTATTTATTTGTACTCAATGTTATGACCATTTTCGATGAGTGGTCAATAATCGTGACAAAGAATTTTTCAGATCTCTAAAATTCGTTAGGAAGTTGGTCAAAAAATCATATTCAACTAAAAACTTAAAATTTTCCATCATATCATTTTTTGTCAGTTGGAAATTGCAAACTCTTCAACCATATATAAAAA